TGTTCTTAGAATCGACTGTTGAAATCAGTCACAGGGAAATAAATAGGGAGTAGCTTTCCCTGAAAATGTTCTCCTCTGCAGGTCTCTGAACGTGACAGTGGACCTCTAGCCTTCTCTCTGGGCCGCGATGCCCGTCAGCTGAGTGCTTGGCGTTGGCCCTGGTTTCATACAGAGAACCTCATTCAGTGTATAGTTATTGTTTCCAGTGTCCCTAAACCATTTGAGACACTGTGCCATCATGCTCAGTGCCTTGTCATTCACTTACTTTAAATTAGCAGGGGTACTGGTGGGAATTGCAGGTGACAGGCGATATAAAAATTGGGGTTAAGCTGGGCAAGCTGTGGCCTGCAGGGCTGGCTGTGGCTTAGTGATTAAGGGAGTTGGATCCCACATGGCTGACTGGGTTTGAATCCTGGCCCTGGCAGCTTAAAAAACATGCATGTGTGCATATGTGCCCCAAATCCTGACAGGACTGAGAAATGAAGGAAAAGAGATCGTGCGTGAGCATACCCCAGTGGGGGGTGCTTTCTCTCTCTCTTACTCTCTCACTCACTCTCAGTATCTCTCTGATAAGAGCATGTACCTGCTGGCAATGAAAGAAATAAGAGCTAAGCATAGTTCACGTTCAGGAGGGTATGGTTTCGTAGGAATAATTAGATGTAGAAAACGAGCTCTACCGTGGGCAGACAGGATGCTGCCATGTAAGTGTGCTCACATGCTCAGTTGTCTGTAGGGCTGGGGGTGCTCAGGACGAGACAGAACTTTCTATGGACTGTGTTTGTAAAACTCACAGAGTAGGTCAGTGCGAAAGTGATTTTCCAGTTGTAAGAATGCATGTTTTGAGTATGCCTGGCATAGTCCTACACACATGTATTTAGTAGTTACCTCTAGCATATTTTGAGAATTCAGGGGTGGAGAACGGTAACCTAATAATGCTATAAAATCATTTTTAAGGGGCTGTCTTTGAGTGGCGGTTGGTTCTTATGGGTGTGCTTCCTGGAGCTGTCGGTAGCAGTGACATGGGATTGCTGAGAGTATCCCACCCTTAAAAGGTAGTCTATGAAGGCAAATTTGAATTTGCCTTTAGGCAGACAGTGAAACTAATTAGCAACTAGTCAGAACTGCCTTGAACTCAGTGGATATTTGTGGGTTCTGGAAAATTCCTGAAGAAAAGAAATGACTAGCGGAGGCAGGACATTGTAGTTACTTTTCTTAAAAAGAAATGCAGGCCCAGCCCCGTTGGGAAGCCACATACTGACTGAGGCTCAGGGCCCCAATTCCATCCACCTGGAAACGCGCCAGGCATGGTGCGCTTCCAGGATCTTAGCAGGCTGAGGGCATGGAAGGGGACCGCGACATGACCGAGCCTTCTCGCTCGCTCTCATGCTTCTGCATGCATGCATGTATGTGCCCACACACTATCATGAATAAAGAAAAGAAAGAAAGCAGAGTTCAGGACCACTTGCCGTCTGGGAAGAGGGGCATCAAAGAGAGACCTGGTTGGGGGAGAGCCTGCGTCTATTCTTGGTGGTCGGGCTGTGAATACCATCTTAGCTGTCCATACCCAGGTAGGTGGCTGAGCCGTCTTGAAGAGACACTGGGACGTGGGCGATCAAGTCCCCAAACAGGAAAACTCATTTTCCTCCCCTTTACTTTCCCCAACTCCCAAGTAAGTCTAGAGTCAGAAGCTTAACTGCGGGCCAGCTGGTGGCAGGGCGGTAAAGGCAGCTGGATCCCACTTGGCCAGCTTTGCAGTTCGAGTCCTTGGATCCAGTGGCTTGCAAAACCCATCAGGAGCATGTGTGCACATACCCAGGAAGCCCAAGAGGAGATGGAAGAGAAGGGATTGCAGCGAGGTCTTTTCCCCTGGGGGGTGCCTTCTCATTTTCTTTTTGTCTCTCTTTGGCAAGTGCATGCACCCTATATCAAATTCAAAAAAATTTGTCTTTCTTGCATTTTGAGTGGATCATTTACTGAAGTACAAATTGCATTATCATCATTGGTCATTTGGAAAATAGCAGTTCACCAAGTTTATGGATCTTCCATGTACTGAATCTGACAAAATGTACAAGAATAAAAACTCATTTATTAATGTCGCCGTAGTCACATAAGGAATGTCTTTAATTTGGGGAGGACTATCAACATCATAGTGACAGATTCTGGTTTTCCACAAAATCTAATTTTTAAAAAAATTTGCTATAGGGTACACACGCTTGCTAGAGAGACAGAAAGTCAGAGAGCACTCTTGCCTCCTCCCCACCAGGGGAGTATGGTCACGGTGCAATCCCTTCTCCATCTTTCAAAATCCTGTCGGGATTTTGGGCATGCACATGCACGTGCCCAGCATGTTTTTCAAGCTGCTGGGTCTGGGCCTCAAACTGTGGAGTCAGCCATGTGCATGATCAATGTTGAGTTTTCATCATTTACCATCTCCAACAAGCAGTTTTTCTTAAATTGATGGTCTCACTTTGTTCATGGTTTAGAAAATGTCTGCCAGTGACCCAAGCTGGAGTGACTATAATTTGTTACTCATTCTTTCCAGTAAACACAGTATTCATGAAAAAAAAAAAGCAGCTATTTGGTTTGCAACTTAAGCTATAACACAAGTGCTTTTTCTCAGGATCACCATGGCACTTGAGTGGTCTGCAGAAATGCTTCATATGGACCTACTGGTTTAGAACAGAATATCAAACAGCCATGTACTTAAGGGTCAATATTTATTGAAATTAATAATTTTTTAAGAGAGATTTTTTTGCTATAGAGCGTGTGTGCTCACTGGAGAGACAGAAAGACTGAAAGCGAGAGTCACACACCCCTCCATGGAGGGGGGGATGGCCACGCTGCATCTCCTCTTGGGATTTTGGGCATGCACACACCTGTGCCTGGTGTGAGTTTTAAGCCACCGGGTCCAGTGCTTGAACCACCATTGACTATGTGGAAGTCCAGTGACATAACCATTACACCATCTGCCAGTCTCCAAGTTAATGTATATATATATATATATACATATATATCTTTGGTACCCCACCTTGATTCATTTTAAAGAACCAGCAGTGTGACCCACTTTTGCTTTTGTACCTTTGGTACTAATGACCACACAGGGAAGAAGGCAAATAATGTCTTGGTATTATTATGAAAGGCAGTTTTTAAATAGGGTCTTGCTGGTCCTTGATCCCATAGGCCAGTGGTTTTCAAGCTCCCTGACCAGTGGCATTAGTGTCTCCTGGGAACTCGTTGCAAATACAAACACTTGGGCCCTGCCTAAGCCTTCAGCATACGGGTACTCTGAATCCGGCTGGGCTGTCTAGCTCTGTAGGGGTTGAGAGAACCCTGCTGAATTGCAGGGAGAGTTGCTCGGAGCATACTCTAGAGTGGGTAAGGTGGGAAGTTAGGAACACAGTCTTCTAGAGTTGGCACAGGATGAGATGTGGGCCTGGACTGGAAGCAGTAGGAAGGAAGGTAGGGTAGATTCGCTAGAATTGGGTCATCTAGGGTTTTACTGTTATTAGGCCTGTGTGATTATTTTTTCTTTCAAAACAGCTGTGATTTGCCTAGTTGCTTGTTAATGATCCCGGGTGGAAGGATTTTGTTTGTTTGTTTGTTTGTTTTTCATGTGGGAGAGGGGAAGAATGTGGGAGGGAGAGAGAACATGGGTATTTCTGATGAGATCTTGCAGTTGCGATCTGTCCCAGCCTTCTAGATAGCCGGGATTACAGGCAAGGGCACGCTGCTGCTCCTGGCCCTTCAGGCCTGGAATCTGCACCTGGCCTTCCAGGTGGCCGCAGCCTGGAGCAGGGGTACTACCACTTGTGCCCCAGCCTGTCGTGGTAAGCATCTGAGAGGCCTCTGCTGCTTGTCTTCAGGGACTGTCTTACTGATAATGAAGAACTCAAGTGGGATAACTTCCCTGAGCCTCTTCAGTCTCTTTTTGAAAACATATTTTTTGTTTTTTTTTTTATTTTTTAAATTTTGTCAGAGGGTGTTTGCATTTTTAGAGAGGGACAGAGAGAAAGCATCCATGGGGAATGATCACATCACACTCCCTCCCCCTCCATTTCTCCCTCCTTGCATTTTGAGCATGCACACACAAGCACCTGGGCCAGTTCTCACCTGCCGGGTTTAGGACTCAAACCGTGCAGCTGGCCGTGTGGGACCCAGCGCCTTCACCATATCGTGAGCGGGCCCTCTTACTCAAGACATCTGCTGAAATGTTGTCTGTGGCCTCTAGAGGGTGACGTTGAATATTCAGCACCCAGAGTTTTAGAAAGGATGGTGCAGTGGAAAAGAATGGAGATAATGGGCCGGCAAGTGGCATGGTGGTTAAGAGCACTGGACTCCCACATGGTCGACCGCAGTTCAAGTCCCAGACCTGGTGGCTTGCTTTCTCACTTTCTCTCTCACTCTGTCCCTCTCTGATCAAATGAAAATAAAAAAATAAGTAAGTAAATAAAGTTGAATAATTCTTTAAAAAAATATGGAGATAATTATGATTTCATTCAGATGTGCCAGGCCACGGACAGTTAACAGCACTACGTGGAGGGCACTGTGTCGCGGACCTGGTGAGGGATGGCCTTTTCCTGCTTACATTTTACCATCCAGTGTAAATCGGCAGCGCCACCTGGTAGCCATACAGGGAAGGCAGGTCTCCAGTGTCAGTGTCAGCAATTATTCTGTTAGAACACTTACTCTTAGGCTTTTTTTTTTGAGAGGTTTTTGCTATAGGGTGCGTGTGCTAACCAGACGGACAGAGAGAGACAGAGAAACAGAAAGTGAGAAATCACCCCCCAGAGGGGATGGCCACGCCATAATCCCTTCTCCTCCCTTCTCCTCTCAGGATCCTGGGCACGCACGCACATGTGCCCGGCATGAGTTTAAGCCACTGGGTCCGGGACTTGACCCATGGTCGACTACATGGGAGTCCAGCAACATAGCCAATACACCAACTGCTGGTCCCACTCTTAGGCATTTTAAAGCTATTTTATTTCTGTTTTGTTTTGCAGATTTGTAAGACTCCAAGGCCTTCAAGCCATGATTAATCTGATAGTTGCTGAAATGACTGGGAATACTGACGTGCCACGTGCCAATTGAAGAGTGTCTCTGTATATTTAAAATCTTCCTGTACATACCCAGGTGCAGGAGAAGACAGCCTCCCTCTTGGGCACTCTGAGAGTTTTCCAACTGATGAAAATTCATTCAAGAATCAGATGGAGCAACCTGACACCACTGGGCTCAGGAGCCCTGGGAGAAACATACATCATTAATGGCCAGTTTTCCAGCTGGTCTTCATGGGTAAAGAAAGTTTGCAAAAAGAAGAAAAAAAAATTTACACAGGCTAAGCCTCAAAAATACCTCTTTAGCTTAAAGAAGGAAGTAAGCGAGAAGGTGACCGAGGGAGAAGTGTGATTTGAGACGCTGCCCGTGGGGTCATGCAGAGTTTTTTGCACTTTATTTTTCAGTGGATTCGGTAATTCAGACCGACTTTGAAATTTCAGACTGAGAAGTTACTCTTCCCTGGCTCCAGCTGGAGGAAAGCAAGTCCAGATTCAACGGGACACGTTTGAACAGCGAACTGGTTGCTTTGCCTTTTTTAGTTAACTGTATTCAAGAAATTTTAATTTATTATTTCCCCTTTCCTGCATCTATAGGATGTTACCTTAAAATAGCAGTTTAAGTCAATAATTACAAAATAAATATCAAGGAAAAATCCAAGCAAGGCTTCCTTTTCCTTGGACGAAAGGTGCGGTGTTTGCAGTCTCTGAATGTGAACAGAAAAGGCCCGTCAGCAAAACCTGAGACCTCTAGGGAAGCAGCGGGGGAGAAGCTGGCCCTGGCCTGGGTTTTATTTTAAGGAATTGTCTTCCCTGTTGAGTACAAGAAGAATTGCACATGAGGAGGAGATTATTTGATAGACTTAATTTTGACACTAGTATTTTCATCAAGATGGAAAAAAGTATGTGATCTTTAGGAGCAGAAAAGGGAAGAAGTGACCAAGGGAGTGAAAAAGAGTTGGACAAAAACCAAAATCCTACAGCGTGGCTCTGTCTTGTCAGCAAAAGGATTTAGGCCTCTGCCAAGGCAAACGCAAACCACTTTAAGAGCTTTCGAACGTTCCGCCTGTGCCCCTGCCCCTGCCCCTGCCCAGCGAAGGGGCTTTCTCCCTGGCCTCTATGGCACTGTGGGGTGGGCCAGCTGGCGGAGGAGCAGGCCAATGGGGACCTGCACTCCCTGGGGACACGGGGCCGAGCTTTGAGACGGGAAGTTTCTGGTTCTGACTAGTGGAGAAAGAGTCTTTTTTTTCTTCCTAAAATTTGGACTGCTGTCTGCACAAACGCTGGTGTGTTTTGCACAGTTTGTGTGCCTTTTTTCCCTTTATGCAATCTTTTTCAGCTTTTGCAGCAGAAATTTGTCTCGTTCAGAAAACACGCCAGAGAGTGGCTTCAGAAGGAAGATGTTCCAATATGTCCTGTCTCTGTAACCGAACTTCTGAAGAGAAAATTCCAGCTAGAGGGATTCTTAACGCCTTAAGTTACTTGAAATCTATGTATTTGCAAACCTTTGTCTCTGGAATCATATTACACTAAACTGGAATCTCAGGCTGAATGAGAATAACCAAGCTGAGTAAAACGAAGAAAACTCTATTTCTCGATCACCACTTACTAACCATGCTCTTTCTCCAAAGGATCAGCACGTTCTTCCCCTAAGGACTTCAAAATGAAAACGGACCCCATGTTTTTTTAAGCATTACCTTTTCTTAGCAGACTGCCATCATCTTTTATAGAAGAATTTTTTCACTATGCATTTGGTGGATCTTTATAAAATACTGACCTTCTAATTAGAGCCAGGTCAGTCTTAATTAAAGGAGGAGAAAAAAGCAACGCAAGCCAACCACTGAAATAAAACAAACAAACCAATGAAAGAGATTGGTTTACATTCTCAGCAGTAAACATTGCTTTGTAAGTCAGACAGCTTGCTGGAGAAAGTATGTACGCAGCGGTGGAGCACGGGCCTGTGCTGTGCAGTGACTCCAACATCCTCTGCCTGTCCTGGAAGGGGCGCGTCCCCAAGAGTGAGAAGGAGAAGCCCGTGTGCAGGAGGCGCTACTATGAGGAGGGCTGGCTGGCCACAGGCAACGGGCGCGGCGTGGTTGGGGTGACCTTCACCTCCAGCCACTGCCGCAGGGACAGGAGCACCCCGCAGAGGATCAACTTCAACCTGCGGGGCCACAACAGTGAGGTGAGCTGTGACTGGGTTTCGCGTTATGTCTGGGCGAGTGCAGCGGTGTTGCTGAGCCCCCTGCACCCGAACCTTCCTCTGCTCAGGTTTCACAGACTCGCTGCTAAGTGAGACTTCATGCCGGGGATCTTCTCCCGTGCCCAGCAGGAGACATGCGAAGGACAGTTCACGGTGGCTTGTCCCATCTCACGTGTGTCTGTCTTCCAGGCCCCCTTACTCTGCTCTACCAGCGTGAGAGTCATCACTGCCTCCCTGAAAGGGTCCAGGCATTGGGAGGGCGGCTGGGGCACGTTCTTACAGGCGGGTGTTGGGTTAGATGCTCCGAGCAACCTCTGCTGTGCCGTCTCCATGGCAGAGCATTCCCAGGGTAAGGCTGACTGTGAGAATGAAAGCAGTGCTGCCTTTACCCTGCACGGTTAACACCTGCATTTCTTCGGTGTAGTACAGCTGACACCTGGTTTGTATTGCTTGTGCTTGGAGGTGAAAGGGTACAATCCTGTCAGGGTTCCATCCTTTTGACATACCACCTCCTAAAGGCTCCACCTTCTCGTATCATCTCCTTAGGGGTTCCC